TTATCTTATCTTATCTTATCTTATTTTATTTTGACGGTTCGGCCAGAGCGGATGTGCTTTTATTTTAAAGCGCTCACGGCCCGGATGTGTTTTTTCCGCTTAAGCAGCCAGTTGCATGATTATCTCTCAGTGGCCAGTGGGAGGAGGTTCGTGTTAAAGTTCGAGCATTTTCGTGAATCTGGTCAGGCAAACCTGCAGAGCTGCATTCGTAAATGTCGCCCGACGCGTATTTCTTGACAGAGACCCTTTTAGCCGAAGTAAAACGGTGAGATTTATTCAGCTGTCACGTGTTATAATCAACGCGCAGTCAATATTTACGATACCCGAAGCTAACGCCTGCTGCCAGGTGAACGACAGGTCTCCTAAAGGCCCGGTTTGGAGGTGGTGACGGATTCTGGCAGGTTAACAATCTTTTTGAAGATCTTTTATAAAAGTTAGAGTTCGGCTGAGCATAACTGTCGTTCTGACTGAGCTGCGTTTGCTAGCAGAAGCTAACCAGCTAATATCACGTTTGTTAATGGGGGGCAAATCAGAGAAGCTAACGTCATGATGTTTACGTTGCACCTGAGGAAGTACACTGCTTGGTATCTGTCGTGTACGATGATTTCTGCCTTAATACTTTAACTGTGGTTTACAGCTTGGTCACTTAAAGAGGAGTAAATGCCACCTGACCCTTCCTGGACTGAATTTATGTTTAACCTGGGGCCATGAGTGCTGTCAACATTACCGAAGAAATCCTGCACAGGCAGATCAGGGTGAGTAAACACAGCTCAGTGTGCTCATGAGAKGTCAGGTTTTTCCTCATGTATACAAAACACTTTTGCTTTCTTGTGTCCTGACGGAGAAATGCATTCCTCTCTTTAGGACAAAAGAGCATCAGGCTTCCAGAGGTCTTATCATGTGACTGATCCCTTCATCAAGAGACTTGGACTGGAGGCTGAGCTTCAGGTCATTGATAATAGAGCACCTTTATATATATATATATATATATATAAATTTTTTTTAAATGTAAACTTAGGTAGCTGTGAGCAAGCAGGATATTGTTCTGTGTTAATCTGACATCCATCTGACTCGTGTGTTTCCTCAGGGTCACACCGGCTGTGTGAACTGTCTGGAATGGAACGAYAAAGGAGAGTAAGTCTTCGTTTATCACATTATAACGTCATAAATGTTACACAGATCATGATAGTATCAGAATACAAATATCTAGGGGTGGTAACTGATTCAAAATTTGTTATTTAAATCACATATCAAAAGGGTCTGTAATCGTATTAAATTTAACCTCGGTAACTTCAGACGTATTCGTTATCAGATGTCCACACAGGCAGCTAAAATGTACAGATGCAAACATGTTTTGTCCTTAAATAAACTTCCTTAGCGCTGTAATGGCCCAAACTGATTTTCATCATATGTTCCTTCATAAATGACCCATTTACTTCAGTACTGACACTATAAATGCTCTAAAATGCTGAACTRGATTTATCATAATCATGTAAATGAATTCAGAGCAGTTTATTSTTTAAGATTTTARAGTTTTTGYTGCTTTTAGCCCTGAAGYCTCACTTTGAGAATGAAGAGTAARMACTGTAATGAACAGTGTAATTCAGCTGCAGTGCACATACTTACAATAAAATGTGCTGCTGTGCATCTGATGTGTCTGAGAACATAAGATTTTAACATCACRTGTGTTTCTTGTGTTGTCAGTTTGCTAGCTTCAGGCTCAGACGACCAGCATGCCATCATCTGGGATCCATTCAGACACAAAAAGCTCACGACTATGCACACGGGCCACGCAGCCAATATATTCTCTGTAAAGGTAAGGGTGATCAAACACTTTCTTTTATTTATAGCATGGTTATAACAGTTTAGTTTTTCTGCTTTTGAACTATACTAGTAATATCTGCTGTGTAGAATAAAGGGAATACTTTCTTTTAAGCTGGTTGGACAATGAGGCACAATTGGGAGGGTTTGGCTGTTGTCTTTATAAACAACTTGAATACAYTCATGGAGAAAAGGTCAATTCTGTTTTTAATTCTAATGTTTTTAAATGGTGGGTTGGGTTCAGACTAAAAGGGAAAAGTTAATTTCACTTTGAAGAAGGAAATCAGCAGCTAGGTGCTTCTCATCAAACATATTGACCAGCTGATGAAGGTCAGTGTGAGCACTTCTATAAAAGCAGGACTTTTGATAACTTGCTGCTCTGGAGCCTAACGGCGACGGCAGCAATGACCTCCAGAGAAACAAGTTTTGCTGCCTTGTGTTCCAGGAAAGGGTTAACGGGCATTTCCAAGAAGAAAAAGTGGAGTTTTTTATTTTACAGGGAGAAGGATTCACAAACTGCTGAATCATAGGGTGCACTTTTTTCTTTTGTGTTTGTCTTTGTACTCTGGAAGTTTTTCTTATAATAATAATTGAAAGGTGGCGGACTTTAGTTTTCCAGCACGACTGTCGGCTTTAATTTGTGTCTCCTACCAGCTGGACCACTGTGACAACGTTGTGTTTGTTGTGTGTCTGTACAGTTCCTCCCACACTCCGGGGACAGAATCTTGGTGACGGGCGCAGCCGACACAAAGGTGCACGTCCACGACTTGACGGTGAAAGAAACCATCCACATGTTTTCTGATCACACCAACCGAGTGAAGCGCATCGCCACGGCCCCCATGTGGCCCAACACCTTCTGGAGTGCAGCGGAGGACGGCATCATCCGGTAAGATCTCAGTGTCCACAGACACATTTACAGTCAAAGGAAGCAACATTATTGCTTTTTTTCCCCCCATAATAATCTGGTTATTCAGTTTTTTCCCCCAAATTCTGCTTTTTCCATTTTTTTAATTCCACATTTTTATTCTAACAATATGTATTAACTGAAAACGTTTAATTATAAAGTGACTGAAAAATAATTTAACAAATGAAAAGCTACAGAATTCTAAATTTCAAAAAGGTTTTTAAAAGTTCTTGTGTTTTTTTTAAAGAACATTGTGTAAAATATAGATTCTCGCATTAAGAGTTTTGTAAATTAAAACATCTTTAGAGTTAAAGCAACAGTGTGTAACATTTAGCTGTATCTTATAGC